CCGTGTACAGCAGAAGGGACGACTCTCGCTCTTGGAGTTTTCCACGTGAACCAATTCTAGGACATCCATCTTCGACGTCAATGAAGGTTATATGTTAGAGGAGCTATTGTTAGAAAATAAATTTTCTTGTGAGTTTTGGAATGGTTTTCGTTGACAATTATTCTGAAAGTGAAGAATTTTGACGAAGAGATCTTTTGATAGTTTTTATATCCTTTGGAGCATTAAAAAAAAAAAAAAAAAAAAAAAAATTTAAAACGACGGAGACAATGAACAAGGAAAAGGTTCTTGAATGAACCCCTTCAAGTGGATAATCCCGTTTTATTTTAATTTTTTTCTTTTTGCGAAAATAAACATGGCTAGCATAGCATAGAATACGCACCTAGGATTTTTTAATTAAATCAGGTGAATATAGAATTTACAAATGTTTTTTTTGTTTGATAAATTTTTGTGATTTTCTCGAAGGAAGAAATTAATGTTGGCAGAGGTGAGAAGCTACAACTTGGCACATGAGAAAAAAAAAAAAAAAGAGGTATTGCTTTTTTTATATATTATAAGTAGCGGGGCACCAAAAAAGGACATATAACGAATTTTTCACGATCGTGCATAAAAATCAAAGAAATGCCTTGATCATTTTTTTGACCAGAAATATTTATATAAAAATAAGAGTGAAAAACAAGACAACAGGTGAAAAAGGAAACGCCACGCACATGAAGAGAGGAAGAGGAAGAAGGGAAGAAATAAACTACTTGTGATTTTCATGGACGTTTGCTTACATATACACATCGCACGCGATGTATACGTACACAGAATCCTCACAGACCCGAAAATTAATTTTTTTGGACTTCGTCGAATGAGATACATTGCCCTCATGTATGCAGACGAGTGTGTACAAGGGTTGACCCGCCCTCAACATGTTTCAATCTGGTCCAGAAACGCTTGACGGCCATCAATTTTGGAGATCTAGAACGTTGGTGATAATAACAATGCCATTACAGACCGAGCTTGAACAAATTATCTTGTGCAGTGATGCATGCGTTTATGTTTAACCAAAAAAATCGAGTAAAACAATGCGGCAAGTTACGAATACGAGACGATCTTTCGTGGATCTCCAAGTTATTTTGAGAAAGATGTTTATAAATGCACGTGCGTGTTTTGATTAACGTCGACGGAGGAAAAAATGTAGATACTGTGCAAGAAATTAGCAGGCTTTGTTTATACATCACTTCATGTAGATGAAACACACGGCTTTTCTGGTTGGTCAGCATTTCTCTTCTGTTCCTTCTTGACCTACATCCAATTGCGAAGAAATCAATAAAACCCAATTTCCATGAAAAATTCTTATTGGTGAGAACACACACAGATTACCTAAGGTTTTACAAAGCTACAGTTACTAGATTAAGGATGGTATAAATTGTCGGAAAACCCGGCGCAATTGTTTATTCACTATTGAATTACACCTATATAATTGGATCAATGATTTATTTATTTATTTAAAATAACATTTTTCAAGAACATCCATCAAATGCAGGGATATGTATACGTTGTTATTGTTGTGATGACCTTTTTGGATCACAAACGTGCGTGCACACAGAGATGTAAAATATTACTTGAGAATAAAAGTATTTAAGGTAAATAAATAAGCATAACAAATTTTTGTTTTGACAGACGGAGAATATTATACCGAAGAAAAAAAATAACCAATCTGAAAAATCGATTTAAAATGCCCGAGATGATTTATCAGCCATAGACAGGGATCTGACGATCGTCATATATCAGGGATGAACTGCGGATCACGTGCAAGATTTCATATGATTGATGACTTTGAAAGAAACCTTTGAATTTCACACAATTTAACCTCAAGCATTACATACATACATACAAACATCGATACGTACCTATATATTATTAACGGTCCAATAAGGGATTTGAAATTATTGAAATGTAGAGATGGGAGATTTTGTTGGAAAATTCACGCATTCCGTAAATAATTACCGCGCGACGTTAATCATTGTTATGTGTTTTTTATGCAGGCCGCATGTATATTTTGGGGTTATCACTTTTGGAGCCCCAAGAAACCTTGAAATAGTCAAACACCCAAATATAGAAGTAAGGCAAGATGAATGCGCACCTTGCAATCATCATCAATCACAAACCATTAACAAGTCTGTTACTTTGAACCTTGTGATCTTGTTAGACATTTACTAATAGGGGCTTAACAATAATTTCTATTCCAAGTTTGATTCATCTCCTTTACTGTTTACAAAACAATTTACGCACAGAATCATTTTTCAAATGCGCAAATCAGGTCACGGCACTTTTTTTATTTCTTTGTCTTAGTGTGCGGCTAAGTGTTTGCATAAAATTAAATGAGGATCATACTGTATACTGTATGTTGTACCTATATATTCCATATGCTGTATATCGATAAAAAAAATGAAATGAAAGAAAGAAGGAGAGCTGCGTATAACATATAAAAGGTAAAATATTAGAATGCATGATCATATGCGTCAATTTATTTACGTACTGTACTTCATAAATGAAACGTTCAATGAAAGGATCATTCAACCGAGAGGCTTCCCCTCCAATAAAAAGAAGTCGGTTGAATAAAGTGAGGGACGCTCAAGACATGAGGGAGAAACAAAGGGGTCACCTGTTATACCGGAGATAGCCTCAATGGAATCACACAAGATTAGTGACCAACGGTCAGTCGGAGTATTTATTGTGAATGCCGTTCGGAATCGGGCATAACGATGACCGCCCGACTACTACACTTCCGCCTATTGATGTGTTTGGTTTACTATTTTTATTTTTACGGTATGTGCTTATTATTCGACAGGTTGGATGACGTCATGCATATTGAAATTTATGCGCGTGATTTGATCATTGCTGTCAAAGAGCAAATGCGAGAATCAATATCTTATTATACGTACAGCACAATGCAGGATTTTCATGAACGCTGGTGATTTGAGCGAAACGTTCAATGATGATGGTATTTATTGTTGGTACTAATGATATCACAATTACATTATTATTAAGCAAAAATGAGAAAATCGTAAATCGAGAAATGTCGAGAGATTAAGGGTGACAATTATTCCGAACCGTTATTTACTGTGTCTCAGCAAACAGATAAAATTGGCACACGCTTTGCAATCGTGGCATCCAATCAACTATTCTCGGGAAGGAAGCGATATATGATATGATTATTGCACCGTCATTCATTGACATTTCTTTCAATCATTATTCAGTGAGTGGATAAATTTGCGATCAATAAATAAATACCTATTGAACAACTCTGGGAATAAAGGAAATTTTATGTGGTCAAGAAAATCCTTCTTAATCGGTGTTCCGAGTTGGATAATTCCCAAAAGTAGAATCTCGAAAACATTAAATTTATAAATTTGGGTTGTGGAATACGCATAAATAGTTCGCTGTTAATTTTTATCACGTGAATAATTTCGACAATAAAAAACCATTGGCTACCATCCCAAAGCCTATCTCCTTGAATTTCGATTATTGCACTTCTCTTCACAAGCGGTCGGGAATTCCAACGGTCGTGGATACTTGTCAAATAAGATAAATATCACTGTTCTATAAACAAGTAAGTTCTTTTAACATTAATATGCAAAATTTTAACTCGTGTGCATGAGGCACATTAAAGTTATGATAGTTACTGTGTTTAGATCTATTGCCAATAGATTTACATAGTACAAAAAGTGTGATTTTCTATTTTTAGCTCGATTCATGCACGTATAGACGATCAATAGGTAAATTTCGAGGAATTTCGAGCGAATTTCGAGTTCTATAATTCTGCACGTGTGAATATTGAATTTAAATGAAGATAAACATGTTTACAGTATAGGTGTGTTTATAGAAATTTTTAAAAATTATACTGCAAGAATAGGAAATTGGGTGCCATTTAAAAAGATCGCGTTGAATTTTCGGTTACCCGATTCATTGAAAGTCCGTGTCCTCTCTCTCTCTATAAAGATTTTTATGACATCCGTTACAGCAATGTGATACGATTTTAAAATATAATCCAAAAGTTCTATTAATTGGGTTTTATTCAAAAAAAAAAAAAAAAAAAATCCCAACGATTCAGAATTCAACGTTTATGCGCAAAGTTTTTCCATCGAATTACAAAAGTCTCCGAATTTTGCGCTAAGATGTTTATGGATATATTGCGAAATGATCGGGACAAATTGATGTAAAGACAATTGTTCTTTGTTGCATTAATATTATATTCAACTTCATCATCTTGCATCGAGATCAGCTAGGCTTTCGTACTTTTGTGTGAAAATAATGAATTTTTTTCTTTTTGCCAATATTTCGTGATTTAATCCATTGATATTTGTCATCCGTGCATATCCTGCCTCTTATCAATCGGGCGGATCTGGAGATTTTATTTAACTAAAACAAGGAACCCATTGTGCTTTACTTTGCAAGAAGACAAGACTCTATTTCTTGTCTAACGATATATGCATAATCAAACAGTTGATTTCGACTTGCTCTCTTTTTTTTTTTCCTCCCTTCGCGTCCATGCAATAAACTCAGCCCATCTGCTTTATCGTCTTTGGGAAAGCAACAGGTTCTTCCGACTTTTTCAATAATCGCAGCCATCCGATTGGTAATATATTACATAAACAATGATCGCGAATCACATTCTCATGACAGCAGATGGGACCCTAAAGGAAACAGTGACTCTTAATAATTTGCAACGTTTCATGTCATAACCGAACGACCCTTGACATCTCTATTAATCTTATGAATGATGAGAAACGTGATCACCTACAGGCGCATCTGTGAAAACATTCGACAATATCCCGCGAACATCATAACATTATGAAGATACTCGGTTAATGTATGGTCTACTTTATTTCGATTCACGATTTTTGCCACCCAAATTTTCAGGGCCCATTCCTCCTCACAGGTCAATGATAAACCGTTTGATCTAACCTCATTTGTATACATATACGGTAAATAGATCATTCTTTCATTGTCTAATGAGTATGTTTCTATAGGTTGGCACTGTGAAACCTATCGTTTTCAATATATTGTACTTGTCACAATTCAATAATACTAAAGAGACGAATTGTCTATAATTCAATGATAACATTGAAAAATGACTCGTGCTAATGAATCCATACATGTTTCTATAATCAACGGTAATGTAAAACTTTCTATGCCGAAGATCACTTGTATTGTATGTACAGTAAGTATGCATACTGCATATGTACTATATGTACTGTACGTGTCTTTGTGCAATTTGAATTCGTAAATACTTTACAACTAGATAAGCGAATCACGGTTAAATGAAAAAAAAGCGTTCATTACATTTTTCAACATTTCAACTTGTGTTTCTGCGTCGGGTGACTGGTTCTTTATTGTGCGTAGAGTGATTGGCCTTGAAATTCCCTTTTCAAGCTATATGATTATATAAATCATTTTTCGAAAATGGTGATGCGGCATTGGTGGTATAGGATACTGCAAAAAATGTTTAATTTATGATGACAATTCAACATGTACTGTAGTTATTTTTGCTTTTACGAGTTACCATACTTTGGACGGACACATTTCACAGGAACGGAAGTACAGTATACGACGTTAGTTTCTTGCGGGCAACGTGTGGATGAGGTCGAGATCATTCATCCATCGAACGGTCGCATGGACTTTATAATTTATGGTACGGCATACGTAAATATAAAGTACATACTGTATATATTGGTGTCAATAATTTCACACTAATTACTGTCTAGTATGTATGCAGATCCAATTATTGATCGCTCGCAGATTATTACGCGCGGAGACGCGGCTAATCCCTGTTCTCAACGTTAATTAAAAATTATTTTGTGAACTATTATGGGTTGAACATATGGAATAATCGTAAGAACTTTAATTATTTACTAAGCTCGACAATTCCTGAATAAATTATTTTTTAAGTTAATACAGTATATACCGTACGCATATCTATTTTTTATACAATTAAACGTAATGCTGCAATCAAATTTCTTGATTATTGGGACACAGACACCGATGATTTGATTAGCCGAAATTATAAATAAAAACTTTTCTAACATGAAAAATAACAGCAATAGCCTAGTGTATGTAATTTAAATAAGCTTTTAAAATCTTTATTTTTTTTAATGAAATAATTAATAAAACAACAGTCTATGTAGCACATGATCCTGATCAACCAATCAAAAACGATCATTTTACATGTATTTGATTTTTTAGATACAGTATTTCTTTTTTATTTTGGTTTCTTTTTTTAAATATTTTTTTCATTGTTTTCACTTTCATCTGATTCCATCTTATCTATTCACAGTGTATGTTGCGTCATTTTTTCGAACTTTATAGATTTATTACATATCATATTATTTCCTTTTCTTTAATAATCTTATATCTATTTTTCAAAATATTTTTTAACTAATTACAAGAAATAATTGGTTTCAACTTTAGATGTTGTATTTAGTAAATCATATATTATCATAATAAAATAACAAAGGTGTTTTCTTATATAACAATATTTATATAATATATATGTATATATGTGTATATATAATTTTTTTTAATTATTGATTGTTTAAATTAATTGATTATTGATTTTTTATTAATTTTTTTGATTCTTAATTATCAACACTTGTATTGTTATTTTATCAATACAAATTTAATAATCAATTCTTTTTTCTTTTCAATTATCTAATCTATCAAATTAATTTTTGATTATTAATATAACATTTTAATTAATTAATTAATTATTAATACGTACTTTAATTATTAGATTTTAATTATTGATATTTTAATTTTTTTGGCTATCAATTATTACAATCTTTTTTAAAATATTTGATTTAATTTTTGTTTTGATTTTTTATACAACATACTTTTATAAATTGCAATAAATATATAGGTATTGTTAAATACATATAAATTTTGATTTTTGATTTATTTATTTAATATTTTTATATTATAAAAAAAGATTTATCATTATGATTAAATTTAACAATTTATAAGTAAAAACAAATATTATTATTTTATAGTTTAACAAATATATTGTACTTGTTTAATTTTTTTATAACTGACAATTAATATATAATAAATTGTATTGTGTACATCATTTTATAAATTTAAATATTTTTTTTAAAGATAAAATAAACAATTTATTTATTAAATATTATCTTTATATAAATGTTTTTTTTTTTATTTTTCAATCAAATATTTTTTTATTGTTAATTTTATTATTATTTTTTCTATTGTTTAATTTTAATTAATTTACTTTTTTAAAAAAGTTCTGTTTGAAATATAATTATATTTTATTTTTATTGAATATTATAATAACTTTAATTAATAAAAAATTTTTTTGTAATCTATTTGACAATAAAATATATTTTATTGTTTAAATATTTTTGCTATATATTTTAATTTTAATTATTTAAATTATAATGTATTTTTTATTTCAAATATTAAAAATTTTCAAATTATTAATCATTTAATAAATAAAAGTTTTATAATAAAATATTTTTATAAATTATTATATTATATTTGTTTTTAACCAATTTTATTTTATATATTAAATCTTATTTTATTCTTATAAATCATAAAATATCATATTAATAACTATAATATATATTAGATAAAATAATTTTCTATTATAAGTTTTTTATCTATATTGATTTTTATAAAATTAAATTAATATATAATAGTATAAAATATTAAAAATTAATTATTTATATTTTATTATTTTTAATTTTTAATTTTTTTGAATTTAATATATAAAAATTCTGAATATATAATTAATTTTTTTTAATATATTACAAATAGAAAAAAAAAAACAAAAAAAAATTAATAATGATATAAAAAATATTTGATATTAAAACCAATATTTATAGAGATAATTAAAGTATTATAATATAATTAAAAAATTTATACAGTTTTTTTATATTGTCAATTAGATATTTATATAGAGTTTTATAATATAAATAATAATATTTAAACTATAGGAAATTTTAATTTATTAATTTGTAGTTTTTAATAAGATAATTAAGATAAATTAATTAATTGTTATTTAAATTTTATTAGATTTTATACATAATTATATAAAATATTTTTTTTGGTTTTAATAAGCAAATTTATATAATATTTAAATAAAAAAATAATTGAATATTTATTTATTAGAATTTGTTTAAAAAAATGACAAAATTTATAATTATCAATTGAAAAAAAAATAATTTTGTATTTGATAAAGTAAAAAATATTTTTAAGTATAAAACAGATTTATAAATTTTGAATATAAAAAAATTATTATATAAAAGAAAACATAATTTGTTTATTTAATTTTATAGAAATGTAAATTAGATCTTTGATTAAAAAAACAATTAATATATTTTGTTAAAATAAATAATTTGTTAAGATTATTTATTAAAGAATAGAAATAATAATAATTATTAGTTTGTTTTTTGAAATAGTTTTTTAATTTTATTTTATAATAAAAATTTTGATTGTTTAAAAAACTTTTCAGGATTTTTTTTCAATTATTGTTTTTTTAAAAAATTTTTGTTATTCAGTTAATATTGGGAGTTGTTTTAAATAAAATATTTGATTTTGATTAGAAGTTTGATAATATATAATTATTTGAAATTCGAAATGAAAGTTTACACAATATGTTTTAATATACTGGATTTTATTCACATTTATTTTTTTGTATAGCTTATGAACCTTTCTGGAACTCCTAACAATATCACTTTGATATTAATTTTATACTTAAATTTATTATAAATTTATATAAGTAGGTTGTGATTCATTTACTATAAATCAATATCATTTTATATCACTTTGATACCAGTTTGATACTTTTTCAAAACCCTATCCTTTTTAACTTTATATATCTTTTGTATAAATTTTCTTATTTAGTACCAGGAATTTGCTTAATAATAAAATTATAGATTATTCTCTTTGCTTTTTTCTTGCTAATCTAATTCTTCTAATAGTTATACAAGCATAAAATTTAGCTTGATTAGCTTTTATTGGTTCATTTTCGGAAATACTGTACATACCTTTCATATAAACAAGCTGTGGCTTGCAATACGTCAGATATTTCTCGGTTTTTCCTTCCAGGCCGGAAATAAAATTTCTATCAAATTATTTTTAGGTGAAATGATGGTAAAACCAAATACATTTTGTACAATATATTGTGTTGTTTTCTTCTTGTGCGATTGACCTGAGTTTTATCAGTACATCATGAGAATTAAGGAACTTTTTTTCCCGATTCCTCTATCTTATCTCCTTACTGACCTTTTCCTTATATTTTTAATCCACGAATTCGTAAACTTCCTTACCTTCTAGAGATATGGGCAAAGAGTTGGCATTAATATACAGGCCTATAATGGAGCTAGGTATATCAACATTTGTGCCTTCCTCGGGAGAAATCTCGTTTTGTGACTTCCAGAAATTCTGTTCTTATTTCACAATTCTATCTCCAAGTTTAACATTCTCGGCATCACTATCTCTCCTATTTTTCTCTAACTTCTCGATTATGCTCTTAAGCGTAGCATTCTCTTTAATAGCTTACTTTAGTTTTATATTTTCAGTATTGATCTCAGAACTCTCATTCTAAGCTCAAAAATCTCAGCCAAGGTTAATCCTTCGATCTTTGATTGGTTATCTGACATTGTTTATAAAAGATGCAGTTATGTTCGAAAGTTAATTAAAAATTATTGAACTACGATATATGGAAAATAAAACCCAAAAATGTTTCGCAGATATGCCGATCATTTTTTGTTATTAGGCGTTGAAATACCTCTTCTAGAGTTAATAGATGACAAACCAATTATAAGTATAACGACTTTATATAACACATGACTTTTTTAATTACATATTACGCGATTTTTACCATTCATCATGTATCTGAATTCGTTTTAATATGCCACACATTGTAGATTTGACACTCTACTCTTCCAAAATGCTTGCTTTGACATAAAGTTGCTAAAATAGTCCGTAACTATCCCAAGTTACCAAATTTTTCTTTGGGAGACGAAAGGTCTGATCAATATTGCTGACTCCCATGGTCTGCAGTTTGTCATTTCAGATTGGAAAAAACGTTTCATTGAAATTTTATAAAATTTTTCTTGACCGCAACGAATCTTACGGTTACAAATTTTTTTGAAACATATATTATTGAAAAGGCATATGAGGGACATGAATCTGTTGTGTCATATCTTTTAAATGTTTTTATGAACCAAATAATGGTGTGAAACGTGACCCGTTCAAGATTATGGTCAACCATGTAAGAGATTTCCGTTTATACTTTTTTGTTGTAAAGGTCATCCTTGTAGTAATTTGATTTGGGGCTTCTTACGAATTACTTCTGGTCATTAAGTAGAGGAAATTGTCTGGAAGAACATAATTCCGATGAGCAGCAAGATATCTTTGAATGAGACCATTTTAAATATAATGCTGAGATTTTTCGTTGATAAAATAGTAGAGAGATGTTTGTAAAGAGATTTTTTTTATGCACTTATTTATTAAAGGATGAGCCTACAGATTTGACCCGCAATATGGTGTTTTATAGTCTTCGACTCCAGACTACAATATGTAGTATTTGCAATAACCGGCAAAATGAATCCATTATGACTCGGTACATCTATGCTGAAATCCTAAGTAACTAATTCGTTGCTTTATTATGATTCGAACGTAAAAAATCCTGTTAGGGAATGTTTAAATAGATGAATTAGCTATACTACACAATCAGTATTAAATAATTAAGGGTCGGGATGCAGCCCGCCTATTACCGTGGTTGCTTTTTTTGTATGCGGGAGATGATCAATATACTGTTACTGTAATGACGGTCAGATATATGCGTGGCGCACGGAAAAATTCATTTCTTTTATTAATGAAGAAATAAATCATAGAAAGGGATAACGCCATAACACGGTAATCAGACATAATTTTTGCAATACATCGCTTCTTTACCTCTGGCTCTGTTTCAACCATTACCCTATCCCTAAAAATACCAATAATTACTTCAACTACCTTTTTTACTCCATTTCGCAATTCGGAATCGTCTTGAATTGTGTATTTGATGAGCGAGATATGATATTCGGTTCTGACTCATTCTAAAAACTCTTTCGGGTATATACAAAATGCCAATCTGTGGCATGTCACTTACCAGTTGTGACAATTCTGTATAGATAATAAGCATACAAGGCGTCGTCGCTTTGCCTTTTCTCTTATTCTTTTGATATGAACTCTAAAGCTGAATGGGATTTTGAGTTAGATCAATGGTTGTTTCCCCTCAGTGATACATAACAGTTCTTTGAGTTCTTTGATAGCCCAATCTAAAATCTTTGCCGATGACTTCGATTTATGGGATAATGAGAGGTCATAAGATGTTGTTTTTCTAATGAGACGGAGGGCCGTATGCAAAATTGCTTCGATATATGAACTGCGCATATCCTCATTGCTGTTGGAAACGTTCCCATGTTTTCTAAGCGACTTTGATGGATTGCTTAAGTCCTTCGTTATCGACCTTAAGAATATAGATTTTTATATAGAATAACAAGAAATGAGATGATTTCGGTGTAATCCGGCTAGACGCAAAGTGCCATTTCCTCCGAAATAAGGTCGAAAAAAAATATTACTATTGCATTATGCAACATCCTTGGTGTCATTATACTAAATAATCATTTTGATCAGTGTCATAATGATTTGTAGATAGATATATTAAATAGATAAATAAGCTAATTAGGTAGGACTAATTTAAATAAGTGTTTTAACACGTTTATTTGTAATACTAATTTTCAATAAAGATTTGTATCATTGTACATATACTGAACATTAAAAAAATTCATATTTTAAGAGTTTTAATATATTTTAAAATTGTAATTATGATAATAGATACAAAAAAGCTAAAAATTGTTATATAAAATTTTTTCAAATAATTAATTATAGCGATAAAAAAAATAGTAGTAAGAAAGATAGTAATAATAATAATAATATGTATTAATTTAAAATATAAAGATTCTATATTAAATAAGATTTGCATATTTTGAAATTTATATAAATTGCATCGGTCTATATACGATATTTAGATTTGTTTAATTATATTTCTTTTTCAAACTTATGGTATAAATAGGTTGAATTAATAAAAACAATTATCAATATAATGAAGAATATTGGTTAAAACCATCAATGCTTTATAATATAAAAAGGGTTACAAGCCATATGTTCAGAAAAGTAAGACAAGAGAGTCTTAAGAAAATTTTCTGGTTTACAATATATAATTAATTGTAACCAAATATAAATTATCATATTATACATATTTCGGTTATTTAATACAAAACATCATATTAGAATACTCTTGGCCGTAGTTTAAACTAGTTTGGACACAATACCACCTTACTAATAAAAAAAATGATCATTATAAATAAAAAGTTTTGGTTTATTATCATAAGTACCCATTATGAATAAACGGTTTTGTAAAGAGAAACAAGCTGAAATGTGGGTGGTGGGTATTTTAGGGTCGTTTCATAATATGGAAATAAGATCATAAATTTAGGACGATAAATTTTATAACATGTAAATATTATAAAAAAATAATGTAAAAATAAAAAAATTCTAGTCTATTCTTCAATATCTGTTTTGTGCTTGCAAACATGGCATAATCTGTACAGGGGCATTTTAACTATTGTAATTTAACGTTTTACTTTCATATATCTGGTCAGACAATGGTGTTATTCTTGATAAGTGCTTCGGTCACTGCTTTTCGTGCAGATTCTCCTATATCATTCCCATAGAAGTCCAATTTGGTCAGAGTGGTATTCTTGCTTAGTGCCTCAGTCAGTGCTTTTCCTGTAAATTCTCCTATCCCACAGTTACTAATATTTAAGTTAGTTAGCGTAGTATTCTTGCTTAGTGCTTCAGCCAGTACTTTTCCTGCCGATTCTCCTATTTCATTAAAACATACATTCAAATTAGTTAAGGTGATGTTCTTCTTTAGTGCCTCGGCAATTGCATTTCCCACCGATTCATTCATTAAATTAAAACCTATATCCAAATTTTTCAGGGTTGTATTTTTACTTAGTGCCTTGGCAATTGCATTTCCCGCCGATTCATTCATTAAATTAAAATGTATATCCAAATTGGTCAGGGTTGTATTTTTACTTAGTGCCTCGGCAAATGCTTTTCCTACAGATTCTTCTATTTCATTGTAACTTATATTCAAATTGGTTAGGGTGGTGTTTTTGCTTAGTACCTCGGCAAGTGCTTTTCCTCCCGATTCTCCTATATTATTCCAGCCTATATTTAAATTGGTCAGAGTGGTGTTTTTGCTTAGGGCCTCAGCAAGTGCTTTTGTTGCCGAATCTCCTATATCATTCCAGCCTATATTTAAATTGGTCAGGGTGGTGTTTTTGCTTAGGGCCTCAGCAAGTGCTTTTGTTGCCGATTCTCCTATTTCATTAAAACTTATATCCAAATTGGTCAGGGTGGTATTTTTGTTTAGCGCCTCGGCAATTGCTTTTCCTGCTGATTCACCTATTAAATTTCTGCTTATGTTAAAATTGGTCAGAGTGGTATTTTTGCTTAGTGCCTCAGCCAGTGCTCTTCCTGCTAATTCTCCCAAATGGTTATTTTGCAAATCCAAGTAAGTCAAGGTGGTGTTTTTGATCAGTGCCTTTGCCATTGTTTTTCCCGTCGATTCATTTAAACAATTATTTCTCAAATTCAAATATGTTAAGGTAGTATTTTTGATAAGTGCCTCGGATAGTGCTTTTCCTGTCAATTCTCCAAAACAATTATCTCCTAAATTTAAATTAATCAGAGTAGAATTCTCGCTTAGTGCATTGGCCAGTTTTGTTCCTGAAAATTCACTCATTTTATTTCCACTTATATTTAAACTAGTCAAAGTGGTATTCTTTCTTAATTTATCGACAATATATGACCCTCCATGTCCTAACAAATTATGCTCTAAATTCAAATAGGTTAAAGTATTATTTTCTTCTAGTTTCGAAGCTAGTATTAGTCCCATATATTCTCCTATTTGGTTTTCAGCTATATCCAAACTAACTAGAGGGGTATTCTCGTTTAGAATATAGAAGAGATTAAAAAGTGCCGAATCACATAGTCCTTTATTTCGCAGATTCCATTCCGAGGCATTCTTTTGATCTTCAGGAGTATGATTGGGATCCTCGAGAATAATTTTCCAAATTTCTAACGCTTCTTCAAAACATCCAATATCAAGATATAATTTGGCCTTATTTCTTTGATCCAAAAGATTATCTGGTTTATGATTTTAATCAAATAAGTGATAATGGTTACATATGACTTATTTATAAATAATTCGTACCGTGATCTAATAAAACTCGACTAGGTAGATTTACATCTTGGACTTCTCTAGAAGGTAAAATAATCGAATTAATTGGCTCGTCAGGAATTGTTAGATGCTGAATTAGATCATCCCAAAGATTTTTGGCAAGTATTTTCTTATATGGTTTTACTTTTTTCAAAATATCTGTAGCAGAAAGTTGAAAGTAACGAACATGAGGTAAGCAATTTTGCAAGGTAACTTTTAAAGTTAGGAAATCTTCTTTCGACCATTCTTCAAGCTTCAACGGTAATGTTGGATTTTTTGCAATCCCCCATTGAATAACTTTTTCCCAAACCTTAACTTCTTCCATTTTTAAGTCATCTCTGCTAATAAGAGAAATCAAAGCTGATTCATGAAGAGAAGTAAAGTCATCGCTATCAAATAGAAGGTTGGGGTATTTTACTATAATATCATTGCAAAAATTTTTTAAATTTTTAAAGTGGATATTTTTATATATTGAACGATAGACAAATGAAAAATGAGTGCGCAGCCAAGAAGGGTTGTTTTGAATAAGATAAATTTCTAGTTTTTCAGATAAGTCGTCTAGTTCGATTTCATCGGCAGATATCATTAAATTAAAAACAAACGCATTGTCTACATTTTCTGCGATAAAAATTCCACTATAAATATATCTGCAAATTATAAAACATAAGTTAATTCATTATATGCGCTATCTTAAATTGCAGTAGTTAAAGTTTATTAAAGCCTACTTGAGAATTGCCTCGAATGTTTGTGAGGAAACACTTGGTAGTAAAATGGTTTTATCTTTTTGTTTTGAAATTTTAGATAACTCTTTACGAAAGTATGATGATCGATAATGCAATATAACTGAGTGAGCAGTAAAAGACTTCTTATCATGATCTTTGTCGACTTCAATAATTACATCGTAATATATTTTATCATTAAGAATCTCGGTAAAATTTTGAGATAACTTATCAAAAAACTTGATAATCATTTTTGCGCATGGTCGATGGAACATGTGCAGTATTCTTAAATATTACAGCAGATCGTTACACAAAATTCTGTGGCTATTATCAGTCATGGGTAGAGATGGGCATTATGTGCACTATACAATATAATAATAATATTATACTGTACTATACTATTATATCGCATAATAATATAACACATGATCAAAATTTATTTATTAAATATCACTATTAGTGATATATAGTATATAACTAATACTTTATATAAAATTTGCTTTCGAATAATTTAAGTTTCGTTTAACTAACTTGAATCTATTTTAGAATTTATTTTACTTAATCGAAATTTTATATAATTTAAAATAAAAATTTATTTAATCAAAGTTTTATTTAACTTAATTTTTAATATAAAATATTATATACGTAGTTCAAATTTTATTTAATTAAAATTAATGTTTTAATAAATTTTTGCATAATTCGAGTATTTTTAAAATTTTATATAACTAAAATTTCATTTAATCAAAATTTCGTATAAGTTTAATTAAAGTTTTTTATACAAATTAAAGTTTTTTAATCAAAATTTATAGCTTAAATAAATAAATATAATTTAAACTTATTTACATATTTATTGTGATTGATTATTTTTAATAATTTATCAGAATAGAATAATAGAAATTGTAATTAATTAATAACTTTATTATAATAATTTTTAATTATAAAATTTAAAAATATTAATAAATTATTTAATCGTCAAAGACATTAATAAACAAAAAACTATAAAAAGATCAAATTATTACTCTGTATATTAACAATTCACTACATTTATTGCTTTAATTTATTTTTATATGCCTCCAAAAAGTCCAATTTGGTTCTATTTTGAAAAAATAGAAAATATCGATGAGTTTTCTTTACCTCGTGCTAAATGCATATTTTGTAAAAATCATGTAAATAATTCTGTTCGCATATGTGAAAATCATTTAAAAACATATACAAATGTTGATGAATCTACTCTTATTTCATATTTTGGTTCTAATTTTAAACAAAAAATTTCAAAAAAACGAAAAGCTTCAATTGATGAAAATTCAAGTCAAACATCTGAACTATCTTTTCAATCAATATCTGAAGAGTACAATGAAATTGAATTGTTATTTGCTAAAGCAATTTTTTATTGTGGTCTTCCTTTATCATTATCTGAACAATTACCTATTCAAAATTGGATTAAAAAATTACATCCAAATTTTTATTTACCATCACGCAAAAAACTTTCAACTGTTTTATTAGATATAGTTTATGAAAATACATGTAATATTATTAT